TGTAGCCACAGCTGCCCTGGGGCACACTGACAGAGGCGAGGCTGTCATACACAGGCACCACTGGACCCTCTGACCACCATCAGTAGGCAAGGCGGGTAAGGTGTCTTGCCCAAGGACACAGCGACTGAGTCGACTGGACGGGGATCGAACCGGCAACCTTTCGGTTCCAGGATGACTCTCCTAACCACTCTACCACAGCCGCCCCGATATTTCAACAAGGGCTTGTTTCCCATCACCCGTGTTGGACCTGGCCTGTGAACCCAAGGCCGAGGAGGAGGAAACTCTGRACTCTGGTGAACCGAGCAGGAGACGATAACATCATGGACTCTGGACTCTGGCGGGTTGGGTTGGGTTCAGACACGGAGATCCACCCTCAATGTCACCGGCTCCACTGAACCCCGCCCCATCTCATGTGTTACCTGACACAAGCTCCCACCCCAGCTATCTTGCTCTGTAGCGAGTGGTTTTTTTGTGCATACGATTTAATGTTTCTGACGTAAATATAAGATCAGAGCAAGTTTTAAACTCATCTTTCCTATTGTGTATTACCCAGCTGCAAAAAGATAGCGTGATTCTGACCTGTTCACCTGTTCCCCCATGTTTTTGTCATGTGTTTTCTTGAATGGGTGTTCTTAACTGCAATTTTGTTCTACATTGCATCCCTGATGTTATGTTTGAATGACAATAAAGCAAATCTGAATATGAATCTAACCACTCTGCCACAGCCGCCCTTTTAATTATTGTTTTAAATTTTCCCTCTCAGTATCCGGACTGCTWAGTCCATGCTGTCATTTAGTTGTGTATGGTTGCCAAACAGGGTATTCCCCTAAGCCTTAAGGATGTTGATTGTTTGAACATTTAGTCCACCTAATAATCCAGTCAATCATAACTTTTCTACCAATGGAGTGACAACTATTTCAGTTTTACAAGGTAACAAATGTTTGCACACCCCCCTACAAAAGTTAGCTTGTGGTGAAGTATACATCCTACTGGCAATGTAGGCCCACTACTGCTAATAACTCAGCTAATTAAGTGAAAAGCATTTACATGTCAAGCTTCCAGCCTTACTTACAAGGAGAACATCAGAGTAAAAACTTAAGAATTATAAAAAAAAAATATCTGGTGCTATAGATGAGTGCCAGTTTTGTGTATCGTGACGCTGATTCAAAAGGAAAACAACAGATGGTTTCTTAGTTCTTTTAAAATGGAAACACCTCTGCTGCTTCAAGCTATAGTAAAGAAGATTCCAACTTTTTATGTGCTTAGACACAAACAGTTCAGATTACTCAGCCTTTCATGGGGGTTCCAGACGATGCCCAAGAAATGAGTTGCATCTCTGGATCTTACTTATTGGTAAATTTCAGTCCGCAAGTAATGATGGAGTTACTTGAAGGGATGCGAGGAACAGCCACCTCAACCTGAATACAGACAGTGTTTTGTTGTAAGATAAAATGGTGAATGAGATCAGAGGCTTTTGGAACAAAAAAAGTGAAAGTTCTGAGTTTTGCTGAAAAAGTGTCTGACCTCACAGAGAAGATTCTGGAAATCACAGCWGAGTATCCAWCTCTGAAGACGCTCATCATTCATACAGGAAGTGATGAAGTTATGAACCGACAGTCAGAAATCCTGAAGAAGGGTTTCCTGCAGTTGCTGAATGCAGCTAAAAATCTCAACATGGATGTGTTGATCAGTGGACCCATCCCAGCAGCCAGAGGAGGGGCTGAGAGGTTCAGCAGACTGTTTGCTCTTAATGGCTTTTTGGAAAAGTCCTGTGCTGACCACTCTGTGAGATATGTGGACAACTTTGATCTCTTTTAGGAGAGACAAATCTGTTCAAGTCTGATGGACTGACTCTGAATAGAGCTGGAGCAGAGCTGTTAGTTTCAAACATGAGGTATTTCCTGAACCAAGTTCCAGCTGGAAACAAACAACAGGAGATATCACAACAAGTGATGCCTGAAGGACAATAGGAGCAAACTGAGACACCAATGGAAAACAAACAAATGGCTGATTAGGAGACTGCTACAGAATCAGAACCACAGAGAGAGGAGTTACTTCAAGCTACAGAACCGGAAGAACATCTGGATTCATCAACATTGCAACCAGAGAAACACAAACCATCAACTAAGAAGGAGAAGGTACACACTACACCCAAGAAAAGGAAGTACTGGTATAGATACACCATTGAGGACCCTGTGGAACAAGCAGAGTATTGTTTGGAGTTATGCACAAAGCTACAGCATTATTCAGCATGGTATAAAGAAAATAGGACAGAAAAGCAGTTTCAAGGGTGGAAAGAGAGAATAATGAGCAAATACCCTGATGACGAATATTTTTATGTCTGGGAAGAAAAAAATTTGAATTACTGGGGTTGGGATTTTAGAAAAGTACATATACTTAGGTTTGTGTTGACATAATTTTTTAATACATTAAAGGGTTGGTTTTCTTTTTGATCATTTAATGATCAGATGGGGGAGTGTGATTGAAATAATACTTTTAGGTTTAAACCAGTGATTCATGACATACTTTAATGACCTACGTTTTCATGACATGCTGTTCATCGGTGATTTTAGCCAGAACAAGATTTGCTAACGACAGTCATTCTTAGATATCAC